TTTGAGATGCCTACCAGAAATTCAACCAGAGATTTGAGTTTACCTAGGCATCTAGATATTCAAGATATCTGTGTTTGAAAAATATGAGTCAGGAATTGAAGACAAAATAAAGGCTAAAGACGTAACTAGGAAGTGGCAGAGGGATAAATTCAATGCTATGAGACTGACAGAATGAGGTTGCTTATGGAGCACAAGTCCGTGGAGAAGAGAAGAGGTCTGACACTGAGAATCAGGCACTCCAAAGTTAAGAGGTTGGGGAGATCAAGAGAAACAACCAATGAATGGCTACTGTAGTCACAGGAGATTGTTGTGCAAAGACTCCTCTGGCTGAGCAGGTGAAATGGATTAAACGGGGGCACAAGCCGACACAGGAGGACCAATGTAGGAAGTTGCAAAAATAACTTCTCAGAGGCCCAAGAGCTGAGATCCTGAAGATTTCTGCCTGGGAGACCATCCATCTCTAAGCAGAGTACAATAATGCCCATGAGAACAGCAAACGAAAGTTTGTCAAATAGAAGCATACATCCTGGGGAAAACATGGGGACCTAGGGAGCTCACTCTGTTTGTGGGAGGATACTGCATTGCCTTGTGTTTTATTAAAACATGACCTTAAGATTCCTATCTTTTGCAATTTATGAAACATCACTCCTTCCAACTGGGTCTCTGTTAATTGCATTCCTGTAATATTTTAATAGTCATTCAAAAACTATGGCAGTGGCCCAGAAGACTAAGGTTGGTAGAAAGGATGTGGGTGATGGAGACAGGATAAGAGGATAAATTCAAGAGATACTTGAGGAGTAACATTTCCAGGACCTGTGAATGGGCTAGAAGAATATAGAGATGGGAGGTAGAGGGAGGAATTGACAGGCAACACTGGATGGGTGATGTTGCCATTCGATTATTTAGGGAATAATGGATGAGGACTCAGGTGGAAGAAAGGTGTACATCCAGTTTGGTATTTGTGAAGATACCGAGAAGGTAGCTGGGATTGGAACTCAGAAAGAGAAGGGACTGAAATGATCAGTTTTGAAGTCATTTGCTCAGAGTGAAACTGATGATATACATAGAGAATGCTGTCTGGGAGACTCTAGTAAGCAGAAAATATGGGGACTAGCAGATGGCATAATGGTTATGTTGCTGGACTCCCATGTAGTTGACTACAGTTCGACTTAAAACTCACTCCAGATATGTGTGTGTGTGCATGCCCAAAATCCTGAAAGGAGCCTGGAGGAGAAGGGATTGCTGAGTGGCTGGGCCCTCCTGGCTGGGGGGCTGGCCCCCGGGGGGGGGGGGGAGGGCAACGTTCTCACTTTCTGTCTCTCTGTCTCTGTCTCTCCAGTGAGCACACACGCCCTATAGCAAAAATCTCTTTAAAAAAAAAAAAATATGGCCTAGACAAGTCTTTTCAATACTAGAATATTTATCAGCTATAGAAAACAGAATGACCCTGCAAAGCAGGCTAAGAAAGAGTAGCTGAAGAGGTGGGAGGAAACGTAGGAAAGCAGAGCATGGTAAGAGTTCCTGGAGACAGTGTTTGGAGGAGGGAGGGAGCACCCATGTCAGAGTTCTAAGAGTTCATAGCTTTTAAAACATATTTGTAACTTATGTCTTATCATAATTTTTCTCTTGCCTGAAGATTCTGTTGGCCCTGTAGATTTTTACTGAAGCTTTCTATAAAAATAGTTTATAAAACCATCATACATGTTTGTCATTTGTTAATATCATTCTAATAAGCTAGTCAAAAGCTTTCTTATTTTAGGCTGACCCCATGGCCTAGAGTTGGAGGAGCTGGATCCTCCCATGGCCAAACATGGTTTGAGTCCTGGCTCAAGAGCCTTGAAAAACATGCCACGTGTGTGTGTGCACGCATGCATGCCCAGGGTCCCAACTAGATGGAGAGATGGAGAAGAAGGGATTGTAGCATGACCATGCCTTAATCAGAGGCACTTTTTTCCCTCTCCCTGCCTTCCTCTTTCTTTCTCTTGTGAGTGCACATTTCTTTGGCAATTTGAAAAAAAAAAAAGAAGGCTCTCTAATTTTAAGATAACAAAGTTGATACACACATTTTAGATAAAACTACATTTCTGGCATTGAAGTGAGCTGGAAAGAACTCAGAAATAAAGTCTCTAGCACAGTACTGGTGTTAGCATTATCTAAACCATGGGCAAGATCCCTATCTTTCCAAGTTTTGGTTTTATTATTTGTTTAATGTTGAGAGTCGGGGCTAGATGGTGGTGTGGTGGTAAAACATGGCACTCCATGATGCTGACCCCGAAGGGAAGGTTCTCCACTTAGATCCAGATACCTTCCTGAATATGCTGGACACATGACTGCCCACAGTCTGCAGCTGGCTAAAGAGGCTAGAGCAAGATCTTGGTATCCTGTTGGGGGTGCCGTGTGTAAATATCTCTCTTTCTCTTAAGTCATAAAAATGAATAAGCGTTGGAATCAGCAGTTGGTGTAATGGCTATGTAGCTGAACTCCTATGTAGTCAACCGTGGTTCAAGTCTTGGACCCAGTGGCTTAAACTCACGCCAGGCACGTGTGTGTGTGTGTGCCCAAGATCCCAAGAGGAGAATGGAGAAGGGATTGTGGCGTGGCCATCTCCCCTGGAGGGTGATTTCTCACTTTCTGTCTCTCTGTCTCTCTTATGTTTCTGGCAAGGGCACACGCCCTATAACAAAGACCTCTCTAAAAAAAAAAAAAAAAAAAAAAAAAAGATTAAGCTTTAAAAAATGCTGGAGGCAGCAGGTAGTGGTATACGCAGTGAGTAGGTGGAAAGCAGTAAACTCACTGATCTACAACATCCTATCTCCATGAGGGCCTTTAGCCCACCATTAATCTGGGGCAATACGAAGGCAAATGTATGCATTTAAACCACCCATTTTCAACAGTTGCCACTGTATGGCCATAGAATGCATTACAATTTTCAGCTATTTGGTTTCTTTAGCCACTTCTCAGACCAATCAGATAAAAACGGCTATTCTCTAATGGAGGATACTGGACATGCAATGATTGTTTTTCTAATGTAAAGTAAAATACTAGACACTAGCTCATTTCTCATAAAAGCTCCTATCTTCTTCAGACTTTAATATAACTCAAGAAAGAAACATTTTCTTACTCATCCAAAAGCAGTTAACTTGAAAAGGCGATCACATTGTTAATATAAAGTATAAATACTGGTGATTCCTTAGCAAATATAAGAGTACATGGTATATAGTAAGGGATAATAATGTTAAGTGAATGAATGCTAGGCTTAGGAATTGTACTGACAAATTACTCTAAATACAGCCACATTACCATACTCTCTCTGATTCCAATATTCATGTCTCATGTAAACTATTTCTAGGGTTCACAGTGATGGAGATGAACTCCACTTTGATTCACAGCAAATCACAGAAAAAAGCTGCAGAAATGCTGAAGATGAAAGACTTCTTTGTTTCAATGTAATACTGAAAAAGTCTGCACTGACAAATATCTTACAGTGTACCACTATTTTCCTTTGCCCAGTAAACTATTTCTGTCCCAGTGGCTAATTCTCAAAGGACTTCTGGAAGGTTACTCCTTGTGAGATCATCATGAGTGGATTCTCGAAACACTTTGTTCACCATTTGGGTACATCGTACATCGGATTCACAGAGTAAAAACTTGCCCAGGCCAACAGGTGGCGTGGTGGTTAAGGCACTGGACTCATACATTTGACTGTGGTTCGAGTCCCAGACCAGGCAGCTTGAAAATGATGCTGGGCATATGTGCATGCATGCTCAAAATCCTGAGAGGAGAGAGGACTGCAGCATCCATCCCTCTTGGGGGGGGGTGTGATTTTTTACTTTCTCTCTATCTCTCTCCAGCCAGCACACGTGCCCTATGGTAAAAAACCTTAAAAAAAAAAAAAAAAAAAAAAAAAGACAAAACAAAATCAAAAGAAAACACCAGTAAATGGTTAATAAAAATGCTCAATAAGATTTTAAAAAATAATCCATTTTGCTTTGTTCATAAATCAAACTTTGTCTTAGTAACTTCACCTCAGCCCTACCATGGTCTAGCCAAACTGGGTCCTTACTGCTTCCCAATCTCCTCATTTTTCACACCATATCTTTACTTCAGCAGTATCAGTGTGCAGAATGCCCTTACATAGGAATTTCTTCCCAATAACTCCTGATGGCCAGATCCTATTCATCTTTTATTTTCTTTTTAGAGAGATGTTTGCTATAGGGTGTGTATACTCATCGAAGAGACAGAGAGACAGAAAATGAGAAATCACCCCCTACAGGGGACGGCCATGCCACAATTCCTTCTCCTCCATTCTCCTCTCGGGATCTTAGGCGTGCAAACACAAGCGCCCAGCATGAGTTGTAAGTCACTGGTTCTGAGACTTGAACTGCAGTTGACTATGTGGGAGTACAGCAATGTAACCATTATGCCCTCTGCTGCTCCCGATCCTATTCATCTTTAAAGGCTTAAACATCATCATCTCCATGGAGTCTTCTTTAACCTCCTTAGATGGAAGAAATCTTTTCCTAAATTGCACAAGTTCGGCAATTTATCTAGGCTTCTTTTTAATATTTAACATAGTCTATCTTACATTCAGTGACGCTTACACTTTTTATAGAGTGTATTTATGCATACACACACACGCACACAATGTAGTAGAGTATTTGTCATTACTTATACTCTAATCTGTTCTGATGTTTTTTTGAATTCCTATGGACAGATTGGTTGTCACTTCATCTTTGTCCCCCTATGAGGTCTAGCTCTATACCTTGAGTAGAACAGGTGATCAGTAAATGAAAGAATATAAAATGAGTTGTCATCACATATTCGCTTTGTACACAAATCCCATAAGGAAGTGAACAAAGCCATTTGATATGCGAATGTCACCAAGCACCAAGTCATCAACTACATAAGCACTATTTATTTATTTGGCCCAGTTAACCTCCACTCTCTATCACACAGTAAGTAACCTCACTGGCGGCAGTGACTGTTTAACACAGACTCACAGTTAAGTGTCCTTCATGATGATCTGGGAAATGAATAAATAAGTACTCTGTGGCTACCAGCTGCATTATGGAGTCACCTAGGAATTCCATCCTCTGGTTGTGGCCTCTGAGAAAAGAAATAGCAACGTAAAGAGATTAATAAGCATTTAAAAAACTCCAGAATTTCAAAAAGGGCACGACTTAAAATGGCAAAGTGTTCACCTTCTTGTAAAGCACAAAACTAAAGAAAATTCCCTAAGCTTCCTTCGTCATGAAGAGATAAGTGAATATAGCTTGAGTTCTGAAGAAGAACAAAATCCCTTGCCTATGGATTAAATGACTGCTAAAATAAAGACAGGTAAACACTGCCTGGTCAACTGAAAAATAAAGTGTAATACAGGCAAAAATCTCATAAGAAAACAAAGCAAAAAGGCTTCAATTTTTCTTTGTTATATCTATTGATATATATATATATATATATATTTCATTATTCAAATCTGGAATTCAGAGCTTTAAAAAAATCTATGATTAAAAACCTTTAATCTTTATAGTTTGAAGACAGTTCAATATATTTGGTTTGGGAGAAGGGAAGCATAACCCCAGAAAAAATAAAATTTTGCTTATTTTCTCAATTATTTAATTAGCTTATCTTTGAACCATTCATCCATGGCCCATGGCCTGTTTCTAAGAATAAAATTTTATGGGAACACAGTCATGCCCATCTGTTTACCTTAATCTATGGCTGCTTTTATGGTTCTATAGCAGAACTGAATCATCGTTCACATGGCCTGCAAAACCTAAAGTGTTAGGCCGTTGGAAAAGTCAGAACGTGTTTTTTGTTTTCTGTTTTTCTATGCAAAAGGTGTCATGGCTCTTTTGACAACCCAATATTTAATGTGTTCCTATATGGAAAAAGTTTTTACTTCCTTCGTAATTCTCCTAAACTTTATGAAGACACAGGACGCATGACAATAGAACCAAACGTTCTAGATTAGAACCTATCCTCTGGTCCATACCAATGTCTGGCTGTACCCATCTCACAAGGTGACCTTCCTGGAAACATGTCTAAAAATCCTCATTCCTTTAAAGGGCATGAAGCAAAAACATGGGGCTGCCTCATCTAAACAATCACATTGGCATGGCATGAGTACATCTAACTCACAAGGTCAGATGGTTAAATCCCACAGTCCTCAAAGTGAATGCCCTTGCCAGAAGTCGAACATGAGTAAAAATCACTCCAATTGCTTCTTCGAACTCAGTAAGTTTCTGCAGAACTGGAGAAGTCTCAATAAGTTGTCGATCAGTATTTGGTTCTTGTAGCTACAGGAAAAATTGAAAATACATATAAATTCTCTGTAGTTTTTAGTTACAAGAGTAATTATCAATTCTAGGACAGTGTTTAATAAAATTTCCTCTCCCATGGGCAGAAAATTCTGAAATGCCAATGAAACATGGAAGCTTCTTTCTCATCTCGTAGAATGGCAAACAAACCTAATATTTAAAGAAGGCTCAAATAATATTTTCCAATTTTCTATCAAATTTCAAGGCCAAGTACTGTACACAGATAGTTGAAAATCCCAAGTATTATACTAATTCTCCAAGGAAAATGCAAGCTTAAAAACAGCTGGTAGAGAATGTGTGTGTGTGTGTGTGTGTGTGTGTGTGTGTGTGTAGTGTAGTGTAAAGCGGTGGTTCTCCAAGTTTAGCATTCATCAGAACCCTTGCAACACTTGTTGCCGCAGATGGCTAGGTCCTACCCACCCCCAGTTTCTGATTCAGTAGGTCTGAAGTGAGGTCTGAGCATCTGCCTTTCTGTTAAGCTCCCAGGTGATAAAGACACCACTGATCTGGACATTGCCCGTTGAGAGCCACTGCATTAGAGTGACTTGATTACAAGAGTTTTCTGGACCAACCTGTTTTGGCAAATGAGCATCATTAAGACTGGATTCAGCTTATGTTACAAACTATTTATTATATAGGTGGTGTTCCACAAGATAATAAATTTTTAACAACTGACAGAGAGCAAATATCAAAAGTATAATTAAAATAAACCTTTTTCAACAACATTAGGTAGCCTTATTAATAAAATATATTAAAAGTACATTGAATTAATATCACTTATTACTGTAAGGTCTCTAATGAGAATTTAGTCAGTAGTGATTATTCATATGCTTATTATATGTAAATACATACATGTATGGGTATACATTTACATGAATATATATATACACACATATGTGTGTGTATATATAAATATATATAAAATGTAATTATGTCCAAAGTAAAACAGTAATAGCAAAGAATCATAAGAATTTTTAAAACAACTGGAGAGAAGGGATGCTACTATGTATAAATCTTTCAAATTCCAAAAGGAGTAAAATGCCATTACAGCACACTAAATTTTAAATTTACAGTAAGTTTTATGCAGTCTGAGTCAAAGCCTTCAATTTCTACAATCCAAGTTAGGTTGGAGTTTGGCAATGTTAATTTAGTATCTGCTTACTCTTTTCCTGTGCCTAGACTTGCTTCTGTAGTAGCTTTCCTGCTATGGCAGGCCTGTAGGAATCCTGGAGTCAACCTGTTAGACTCTGATCACCTTCCGGGGGCAGAGGGGAACCCATAACTACACAGCCGCTCTTTCTGCCTTTCAGGGAAGATGATGCCCAGTGCCTCCCAAGTCCCAGCCTGGACCAAGCGATGACAATGCACAGGCTCATTTTACTACTTGTTTCAAAGTTCTCCGGTTCTGGCACCCCAGCTTAAAGTCACAATCCACTGAAGGGAATCAAAGGATAAAAAGCAGGAGGGAAAAAAACCGGCAGACGAAAATAACATGAATAGCTGGAGCTATAAAGCTTGCTGCAGACAGGAAGGTCATACTTACTTGGAGTGGGTGGAGAGGATAATTGAGCCAGACTTCGCGCAGGTCCTGGAAAATGGAGTGATGTCTTTAATGCTCAAGGGAGTCATTTAACACACTCTAGAGTACTAAATAAAAAGTCATTATTTAAAATACCAAACTATTTCAGATGCTGACTCCACTTATTGCAAATTCAATAGTGCTAGCAAACTAATTTTTTTTAAAGTGTATTCACCACTTGAAGTACCTGTAGTGACTCTAATTACTTATTTAGCTGGGGAG